TGATTAGCTCCTTCAGGCGGGTGGCTGGGGTGTGGGAACTCTCAGCAGGGGTGGCAGGCAAGGCAGACTGTCACCTTGGATCTTTTGGTTCCTGTACCGCCCCCTGGGCCTCTCTGGTTTGATGGCAGTTCCCATCACTCAGGCGGAGGCTTGGAAAAGAGAAACTGAGTCACCTGTGGTTGCTGCTGCCAGATCTCAAGAATCTTCAGTCCCCATTCCCTGGAGAGGTGCCTACCCAAAGCAAATTGGAGGAGGATACTTCCAGGAGGAGTTGCCCAGATGAGCCCCTCTCCTCGCCAGGCCACTAGTAGGGCAGGTGCAGGACCAGAGAAGGCCCCTCACTGCCCTTCCCCAGGAGTCTGAGTGGGCAGACGGTGTTGGGTAGGAGAAGGTGGTCCAGGCCCTCTCTCTGCTGGTCCTCAGTGACCTCCTGACAGGGGAGGGGGACAAAGCACTGATGAATTGGCTCTGCAGGCTACAGTGTCTTGGGGACAGGGTTGTACACTGTGCCCTCCATGTGTCCACATTTCTCTCCTGGCTCAAGCTGGATGATTCAGTGACAAAGGTTTTGAGGGATGGTGACAATGGTCTCAGAGAGCCCAGGGTGGCTTCTAGAAGCAGGTGTAGCCCCAGGCTGAAGAGCTACCTGGGCATGGTTTAGGGGAGACATGGAGGGAGTTGGTGCCTTTCCCCTGTGACAACAGGGGTCTCAAACACCTGCAAACCCCATTGTGATGAGTATGTGAAATGACCCCAGGGACAATGGAATTTCCAAAACTGGAGGAAAAACATACATTAAAATTCAAAGGAGGTAGAGGCAGGAGGATCAGAAATTCAAGGTCAAGCCAGTTCTTACAGTTCTTATCTACATAGACACCAGCCTGGGCTACATGAGGCCCTGTCTCAAAAACAAAAACAAACCCCAAAACTGAAGGAGGTAGAATCCAGAGGCCCTGAAGTTCAATGAGCCAGTCTCAAAAATCTCTGGGGGTGGAGAAGAGAAAAAGAAAAAATATTGAAGGGTGGGAGGAGAGGCAAAGGGAACCTTTTTTAAAAGTCAGTTGTTTTTAGAGAAGCCAGTAGGGATATTTCAGACAACTAGATGGAACATTTCAAAAGAATCAGTAAATGCCTAAAAACCTCAAGAATGAACAGAGCCCCAGGCACCATCAGCTGGTCATTGATGGATGGACTAGTTGGCAGTAGTCAGTGCGTTGGTTATTCCTGGCTGTGCAGTTGGACTTGAGGGGGTCCAGAAGCATCCTGGGGTTTAGAGCCCAGTAGGTATCCTGTCAGCACCCCGTCATCCTCCGTTGAGCTTGGTGGGGCAGTGGTGGGGCACAGTGTCTTGTCTGTACTCCCTGTCCTGGGGGTGATAAAGCAAGCTTGGGAGCCAGAATCTTCTAGACAAAGGTGCAGACCTCAGACCGTGCTTGAATGCTTCTAGGGACAAGGAGCTCACCACCTGTTTCCTTTGTTGGGCCAGAGTTCCTCCTCCTTGGCCTTCAGTTTTCTGTTTACAGTTCTCACTCCTTCCCTGGCCCCAGCAGCACAGGAAGGATGCACAACAGCTCCGTGGCTCTGAAACCTTCCTCTCTAAGTGATGCAGAGGCTGCTTCCCTGACTCAGGTGTGGACTATGGAGGACAGGACCAGAGTCTCTCTGGGGGCTGGCACAGCTGCTGGATGACCTGTCCAGGCAACAGCAGCCCTTTTAGTCCTTGAGACCCCGGCTGGCATGTTCAGTTTGAGGGTACTCTGGCCCCTGGATGCTGGTCAGCCCTCATAGGTACCAGCCCCTCAAGGAGTCGGCAGGAAAAGCTGCTACCCTTACCCCTCTGCTAGCCAGGCCCCGGAAAATGCCTGCTCTGTGGGGCTGCCACTTGGGGCAGGTTCATAACCCAGGAAAAAAAAATCCCCCTTTCCCTTCACCTCCAAGGAGTTTAATCTCTCCTAATCAATTTAGCAGACTCACTTGGGTGTAAACGGTAATGATTTGCATTTTTAAGCCTTTTTATCCCTCCTTAAGAAAAAAAAAAAAAGCCTCCTCTCTCTGCTCTCTGCTAGGCCTGTGAATTGCTTGTTAGCGCTCACCCTGGCACTCATCCAGCCTCACATCAACTGCCTTCACCTGCGCCAATCTGTGTGAGCAGGGGAAGTGGCACATGGGAGGCCCACAGCCCTGACCCTGGTAGGCCCTGATGTGTGCACTGGCCCTTGGGGGCACAGCAGCCTGTGCCCATGCCCCAGAGCTCCCTCAGCTGCCTCTGCAGCCCCATCACTCCCTGGCTGCTGCATCCAATTTTCCTTGTATTTTTTATAAGCAAGAGGCTCGGAACGTGGCGTTCAGCTGGAAGCAGAGGTCTGAAGAGGGTCAGCTTTGGGACTTGGGCTGCCTCTTGTGGGGTGCTGGGCGGGAAGGGTCCCTGAGTATGCCTCTGACTTCTGCCCCTTCCCCCCTTGGCAGTGGCAGTGGAGGAGAGGCTGATCCAGACATACTGGTCCCACTCCTTAGAACCTACTGGAACCTTCCAGAATCAGTGGGGTGGGGGCTGCTCTCACTGGGCCTGTGTGAAGCTAGACTGTGCCCCAACATACCCTCAGTTTACAGAGGGGAAACAGAGGTCTCCAATTTGCTAAACAAGTTTCCTGTTCCCTGGCTGGGGCTGGGCTGGGCAGCTGGCCTGCTGAGAACCCTGGGGAAAGGGTCCTGAGAGACCCCATACCCACTGAGGAGGAAGTGGGGGCATAGAGGTTAGGCCAAGTTGGGCTTCTGGCTTGGTGAAGGGACACTTGGACCCCCTCCTAGCCATAGTCACATTCCCAGGGCTGTCACCTTCCCTACCAGCACTGGGCAGAATGAGGAAGGGGCAGTGCCCCTGCGCTTGCCCTCCAAGCCTGTGTCTGGCTGTGGGTGGGGAGCCCCCCACAGGGCAGCCGCAGGGCGCCATGTTAATGCAGAGGCAGACTCAGGGAAGATGGAGGCTTCCTGGGGAAGGGGGATGCAGAAGAGGGAAGAGAGGGAGCTTTTGATGCACGTCATGTCTGCGGAATTGAGTATGACTAATTAATAGATTTTATTCTTAGTAATCTCTTAAGCATTCCATACGTTGGGCCCCACGCCTGAGCTGAGCCTACAAGAGGCCTCATTGGCAAAATGCAAATGCCCACGGCCCTGCCGCCTTCTCCTTCCTTGCCTTTTCTTCCCCATTTTTTTTTTAAAGAGGAAATTTAAAGGAAAATTGCCATGTAATAGAAAAAGAGATTCCAATCGCTACATCTAATTACCACGAAGGGTAAACCACTTAACCAAAGAAGTGTCGTGGGCTTTTTTAAACTTTAAACCTGCCTTAAATGTCACAAAATACACTCCTCAGGGCTGAGGCCACTGAGGTTGTTCTGGCTGGTTAGTCACTGCACGGGTCAGCTTGCTGGCCACAGCTTCCCGGTAGAAATCCTGGCCACACAGAAGAGGTTTCCACAGGCCTGAGGGTGTCAACTCTGGCCTTGGCACTTCTGAACACAGGGGAGGCTGGGTGCCCTGAACCTCTTCCTTTATATTGTGAGGCCGGGGGGGGGGCAATGAACCAGGAGGCTTGAAGCCAAGGTCCTCTGTCTGGTTTGGGGGATGGGATTGGGACAAAGTACAGACACATGGGGGCTTGCTCTCAGGAGGATACTGGGGCTGGGGCTTGAGGAAATAGCTCAGTGGTACAGTGCTTGCTTTGCACAGTTGGGCCCTGGGTTCAATCCCAGTTCAATCACTGTGCCCACACCCAGACACAGACACAACTAGACACACACATGCATGCTTGCACACACGCACACACATACAAAGGACACTGGGAAGTGTTAGGATGCTAAGGGGTGGAAATGACACAAGAAGGGCTCTCGGAGGAGCTGCAGGGCCCTGACTGAGGGAGTGTTCACCTTCACCAACATTTAGTACTTCCTGCGGGGGGTGGGGGGGTGGGCAATGCCTGTGGGAAGTCAGGTCAGGCCTGGGCTCTCCAGCTGGGTGTAAGATGGAAGGAGCCCCATTATAGCAGAAGCCTGGGCAGGAGGCCCGGGCACCCTGCCTGGGTGGTTGGCAGGGCTCCTGTGGGCCAGGCTTGTTCTGTTGGAGGTGGATGGCGTTCACTGCCACCCAGGCAGCTCCAACACTTGGCCTGAAGGTTCCTGAGCTTCCAAATAGGGCCTTCCAGGCAGCTCCCAGGGTCTAGACCACCTGCTGTCCCTAAATGCTTTCCTAGGCACCAAAAAGTGACCTGACCTTTCCTGGGGAAGGGAACAGAGAAAGGCTGGATGAGCTAGGGGACTGAGCAAGTTACAGGTGGAGGTGAAGACTTGGGTGGGGGCTCGCGTTCCTTGGACCCTGGAAAAGGCTGGTGTAGTGCCCTTAACGTCTTGTGCAGAATCTGGGGCTCTGCCTCCCTCACATACCCTCTCCTCCCACATGGCTCCTCCTCTGAACCTGCCTGAGCTGTTGGGGGCCAGGGCACCACCGGAGTTGTTGGGGACTGCTGGGCTCCAGGGTGCATGTTTATACAGACCTGAAATTGAAGCTTGGGAACAGTTCTCTCCTGACCTCATTGTATGAGAAAATGACTTGAGTAGAAGGGAACAAAGGCCTCTGTTGGGATGATGTATGTCCATAGCCCTTGGCTGTTCCCTGGGGCTAGCAGGCTGGGGTCTCTGGTGTGATGACCCCTTGGGCTATAAGCAGGAGCCTGTCCCTCTTTTCCACTACTCCGGGACATCAGCTGAGTCCATTTCTTTCTATCTCATCTCTTCACTGAAGGGTTTGGCGGCTCTTTTAATGTCCAGCAAGCGGATGGCACCTGGGCACACTGCAGGCCGCCCCATGACGACTGCCTGGCCTCTTCTTCTTGCCTTTGGTTTGGATGAAGTGGCAGAGGCCTTTTGAAAAGGAGCCCCTTCTCGTCCTGCTGCCCTCAGACCAGTGTCTTTCCTTTGATGACGTGTTTTTTCCTGATGCAGGGCAAAGCGTCGCATTGACAGATGGTGACCCTGTTGCCCCAAGTATGGGACACAGCAGACATCAGAACCCCAGGCTCTGCTCTTCCCTCCTCTCCGGATTTGCTGTCATTATTTTATCATTGTTTTAATCTCATGGCTCACCACATTGTGGTGTCAGTTGATAAATGGTAATGACATTGATTCCACAGGGAGGAAATAAAATCTTAGCTCTTCTGAGGGCCCTGGTCAGCACCCTTTCTGAGGTTGACTTTTTTTTCGAGAACAGAACCCCTGATGTGGGCATGGCTGAGAGCTCTACATTGGTGTGTGTGCGTGCGTGCTTGTGTGTGTGTGTGTGTGTGTGTGTGTGTGTGAAAAGGATTTCTTTTTTTCTGGGCTTTGAGCAGCCATGGAAACCAATAGGTCTAACCAGCATATTTGTCTATGGTCTTTGCACTAATTACCTGTCCTGGGAAGAAGAATATAGTAAACAACTACTGTGGGGATGCCATCCACTCGGGGAGGGACAGATAAGGTCACTGGCTTTTCTCTGAATTTTAAAGGAGGACAGCCTGGCTTTGGCCAGGCTGATGGGACAGATCTAAAAGCACCCTTGGCCAGCTCCTCTAATCCCCAGGAACGCAGATGCAGTGATCTTTAGGAAGAGCAAGACCCCTCCACCCAGACTGAGACTCCTCCTCACTCCTGTCCCTAACACACGCCCACTTACTCAATGATTTCTAGGAAAAAGCAACACTTTTGCAATTCTATTAGCTCAGGAAATGGTAAAGACTGACCCAAGAAGCACTGAAAGGTGGGACACGTGGTTCTGTCTACCCATCTGTACTGAGACACACCACACAGAAATAAGTGGGTAGACAGACACACCTCCACGCAGCAGGGACATCGACGGCGTCCGTCAAGAGCTTCTATGGGGTTCGGTGAAAGCAACCGAAGTGCTTGGCATTGGAAGAGAAAGTTTGATTTTGTTTTTCTTTAATTGACTATAATATTGTTCCAAGAGTGCTGTGAAAAACGCTGTATTTCTGCAAATCTGTGAAGGAAAAATGGAAAAACCAGGGAAAAGACTTCAGGACAATACCTCCACAGGAAAAAATTCTTCCCTCAGCTCTGTTGGGAGGAGCCTGAAGACCTGTTGAGTTGTTGCCTGTGAGCAGAGCAGGAGGGCCACGTGGGGGCTCCATGCATGGCGGGTGTGGTCTGCATCTCTCTGATTGCTCTGACCAGAGTTCAAGGTGTATACAGACGTCATACAGGTAGTATCAGTCTAGTTCAGGAAGAAAAAAAAAGCCAACCCAACCCTTCCCACGTGATTATTTTTAGTTCTTCTCAACCGTCATGGTCTGGTATAAATTATGTCTCCAACAATGTTGAATACCCCTTCTGCCTTCTACACGTTTTTTAAAAAAATTCCCCCCACTGCTGCTTTCTACAAAATCATCACCCCTCCCCAAGCTTTGCTTTCGGCTGGGAGAGTCAGTGGAGTCTCCCTTCCTGGCTCCTGGGGTTGTGGCGGGCTGGGCAGAGCCACCTGGCCATAGCTGGGCAGCCGGCATCAAGTGTAGGAGTAGTCCACATCGGGGATGCCCCCGTCCCGGTAGCCCCGTGTGGTGCCATAGCCAATGGTGTGGGCGCTCTTGCAGAGGCTGCTGCCGTTAGAGGGGAAGATGGTGTGTACCACGTACTCCTCTTTGGTGCGGTACGGGTTGATGGGCAGCATTTGCAGCCCAGGGCCACGGATTTCCAGGATGGAGTTATCCTTCTTGGTACCCGATTCCATGTAGTCGTCCTTCTTCCTGCTGCCCCGGTTGTAGGCCCTCTCCCGGGTCAGCAGTTCGCCAGCCCGGTGCACGTACCAGCAGATGGCCCCCAGGACCAGGAAGAGGAAGACAAGCGCTACGGCACCACCGACGATGCCAGCCAAGGGCAGCCCCACCATAGGGCCGGCATTCTGCTCCTGGTTGAGTGTGGTGGTAGGGCCATAGCTGTCGGCCGTCTCTGCCTTGGCACACACAGGGGTCTCATCAGCCACGTAAGTGTTGCCGGTCTCCATAGTGACCATGCAGATGATGTAGGTGGACTTGGGCTCCAGAGCTGTCAGCAGGTACTCTGTTTTGTCTCCCTGCACCAGAGTCTCTGTTATGGAGCCCACAGCTGGGCTATGGCCCAGACGCAGCCAGCTGAGCCGGAAGGAGGAAGCAGGCAGCATGGCCTTCCATGTGATACGGATGGAGTCTGCCGTCAGTGGCTTCACCTGGATGACCAGTGTCTTGGCTCCATCACCTGTGGCCATGGGGTAGTCAATGTTGGAGTCGGGGAGACGCAACCCTGGCCTCTTGGCTTTCAGGGTAAACAGTGAGCCCTGGGGCGTGGTGGCAGAGGCATGGTGGTTGCTGGCTGTGGTCTTGACAGCTGCATTGGCCACGCTGCCCTGTGACCCCGCCTCAAAGCACTCATCCATCTCGCTGGTGATGTCTTTGATGGCCATGCCCCGGACTTTCTCAGGGCCCTGGCACATGAGGCCCCGTACGTTGACCACAGCGGCCCGTGCTTTCACCCAGTCTCTCAGCCACATGAGGTTACAGCCGCAGAACCAGGGATTGTTCCTGAGCAACAGCTGTGCCAGGTTTCCCAGATCGTCAAACAGGCCTCGGGGCAGCGTAGTGAGGTTGTTGTTGGACAGATCCAGCCGCTCCAGCTCCCGCATCTTGGCGAGCGTGTTGTAAGGGATGTGGCTGATGGCGTTGTCCTGCAGGTAGAGCTTCTGCAGGTGGGCGCTGGGCAAGTTGAGGGGCGGGGCAGCCAGCGAGTTGCGCACCAGCGAGAGCTCTGTGAGGTTCTGCAGGCGGCTGAAGGTGTCGTCAGCGATGCGCTGGTTGGCCAGCAGGTTTCCGTCCAGGACCAGGCGCCGCAGGCTGTTGAGGCCCTTGAATGCATGCAGTGGAATGGTAGAGATGCGGTTGTCGTCTAGTCGCAGCTCCTCCAGCGTGTGGGGCAGCCCCGATGGGATGCTGCTCAGGTGGTTTCGGCTTAGGAAGAGCAGCTTGAGCTGCTTGCTGTCGGCAAAGGCGTCCTCCTCAATGCTCACAGTGGACACAGAGTTATCATCCAGGTGCAGCTTCTCCAGCAGTGGGATGCGGGCCAGGGAGTCCCTGGCAATGGTGCGCACATTGTTGTCCTGTAGATGCAGCTCCCGCAGGGAGTGGGGCAGGTTGATAGGGAATTCGTCTAGATCGTTCTCGTACAGGTAGATGACCTGCACCTTGACCTTGGTCTTGAGGTCCTGGGGGATACCAGCATTGTTGATCTGGTTGTTCTGTAGGTAGAGGGTGGTGGCATCATCGGGGATGTCTGAGGGGATGGACGTGAGCCCCCGGTCGTTGCAGTAGATGAAACCATTGTCACAGCGGCATACTGACGGGCAGGTGGTGCTGTCGATGACCTCCGTCAGGAAGGCGATGAGCCCATAGCAGAGGAACAGCCAGTCCCGAAGGTCCATGGTGGCTGTGGTCATCACGACGGTGGCTGTGACAGTGGCAGCAGGCGTGGCGGTAGCTGTGGCAGTAGGGTATGCCACCACCATGGTGGATAGCTGGTGGTTATCTGACCTGGAGCCTCAACACCTGCAAAGAACACAAGAAAGATGAGCGTGAGAGTGCCTGGGCCAGAGAGGAAGTGCCTGCCCAGATGCCCATCCAGCTGCCTGTCCACCAAGGTCTCTGCAGTCAGGTCTTGCAGGGTGGAGCTGGGTTGCAAACCAGGCCTGTGCCATGCCAACCTGGAGTCACAGGTAAGCACCATGGTCAGGGTGGCACTCTAATGACTGTTGTGAATCTCATCAGAAGCAAAGAGATTCTGGGGCACCAGCAGACTGGAAGATTTAGTGCATGCCCACCTGCAGCCTGGGCTTTGTGCTCCCAGGCTCACAATAAGCCATCTTTAAGGATCATGATCACAAATGGTACCGGTACCAGCCAGTGTTGATAGGATGGGTTTAGGGTGGGTTTCATGGATTGGGAGCCATCATTTCCCACTGGATCAGGAACAGGCCTTGCTCTCTGGCATGGACTCAGAGTCTGAAGGAAAAGCTTGCTTCTGGAAGGCTGTGAGCTCAAGGGGCGTGTCGCCAGAACCTGCAGGAAAGAAGCTGTCAGCTTCATCACTGGCCAGCAGTTGGAGAGGCATTGTCTGGTGGTGAAACACCATGTCCTGTTTGTCACCCCCCGAGTGTCATATACAAAGGAATGAGGTGTCAACAGAGCTGCTTCCTGGTGTGTCTACCTCCCCTGCTCCAACTTCTGTGTTTTGTGGGGAATTGTGCCGCACCTTGTCCTTCCCCACTCAGCAAACTTTCAGCTATTTCAGAATGCACACACATTCACACACGCATACACGCACATGTGTGCATACATGCTCATAGACAATGCATACATACAGTGCACACAGCATACACATGTAGTCATATACATGTGTGTATGTGCACATGCATGCACACACGTACACATATGTGCACATGTGTCAGCCTTTTTGACTTAAAGAAATGAGCCAAAAGTAGGGAGGTGTTGTCCACTCTGAGGAAATTTTTCTGCAAGATATAATATCAGTTCTCGCAAATGGAAAAATCACAGTGCAGATTTTCTCATACTATTTTACTGTTTGCAGTGGTTTAAAAAATCAATTAAAGAGAAATTATCTTTCAATCTCAGTGGAGAAGGTGTCTTCACACAGCTGGCAAAGGTCTGCTGTAAAACTCAGGGTCAAGAAGGCTTTCAGGGCAGGATATGATGGCCTCTCAGACCTGCGGCAAGGCCTTGGCCTGGGAGGAGAGCTCTGCAGTGTGGAACATGGCCAGCCCTGCTGAGTGACCAGCAGGAGGCTCCCTCGGATGAAGCCTCAGTTGGATGCCCCAGGGACCACCTGTGTCTACTTCTTAACCACAACAAATGCTTTTCCCTGCCCATCCTCTCTGCTCCTAGGCAGCCTCTGTTTACCTGGTGAACTTACTTCAGGGCCCCACTCCCCCAACCCTCCCTCCACCGCTAGGTCTTCTAGGCCTCTGCTTTGTCCACCCACTCATCCATGCATCAGTTTGTCCAGTCTATCCATGTATCCATCCATCCCTACTCACTCACGTATCCATCTGCCCATCATTATCCTCCATCTACTGTCCATCATCCATCTACCTATCCTCATCCATCCATCCACCCACCTATCTATACATCCTCTATCCATCTACCCAGCCATCTTATCCATCCATCCGTCATCCCTCCATCCATCTGTCCACCCATCTGTCTATCCATTCATCCATCTATCCATATACTTATCTAACTACCTATCTGTCCATCTTCCATCCATCCTCCACCCAGCTTCTACCTGTCATCCATTCCCTATCTGTCCACATACCATCTATCCATGCCCATCCATTCATCTAGGAGATCTTCATTGAGCATCACCATGTACTTATGGCTCCATTCTAAGGGGGCAGCAGTTCACACTGTAATAAAGTCCTTGGTTACAGCCCTCTGAATATGTAAGTAATGTGGTTCTGCCAGCAACCATGAGGCCACGGCCTTCTTATTTTCATTTACCAATGAGGAAACTGAAGCTAAGTTTCAGGGTGGGTACTGTATGTAGCCTGTGTGGGCCTGGGGTGGTTTGGCACTGGTGAGCACCCAAGGACAGAAGGGACTGGACCTGGTGCCATCCCTGCATACTCTGGCTCCACTGGTATTCACAGGGGCCTGTGTTGTATCAGCCCAGCAGCTCCACCTCCTTCTAGGGTGCAGCTAACATATTGACCACTCAGGGCTGCTGTATGAGGCTTTGTTCCTGAGGTGGACCCAGTGCAGATGGAAGACCAGTGAAAGCCACCCCTGCTGGAAGCAAGTGGGTATGAGAGAGCTCAGGAGGTAAAGAAACCCCTTAAGGAAAGGGTGGCTCAGGTGGCTCTGGAGGTGAAGAAACCTCTTAAGGAAAGAGGCTAGGGCAGCCAGAAAGAAACAGACAGGGCTTCTGAGATCTGGGTCCCCAAAGCCAGCTTGAGATCCCCCATCGAGGAGGAGCCAAGGGGTGAGGACACTCAGCTGCTTATTCCTGCTTCTCAGCCTCATTGCCTCACAGCCTGCCTGGCCCACGCAGCCATGACCTACTTGCCTTGCCCCTGTAGTCCCCCAGACTTAGCCTTGGCTGTATGCTGAGCCCTCCTTCCCATTCCCTTTCCCTGGTCTCTGTGTCTGAGGCCCTCTAGCTCCTTTCTGTCTGGACCCTACTTTGCCCAGGGTCACTGTGATCTTTAGTGGCCCTCACCGGAGACCTGACACCCAAGCTGGTCCCTGACAGGGCTCCCTGGCTCCCTCTCTTCTCACCTCCCTCTTACCCAAAGCTTTGCAGTGTAGCCCTGCCTCCCCTCCTCAGTCCTCAGCAGAGTCAGACTGAGGTTCTAGACAATGCTCTGCTGAGGACCGGGGCCTGGTTACGGGTTTTCTTGTGCTCACAGCCTCCTCTTGCTCTGTGGTATGGGTGTCTCAGGCTGCCGTAGGCCTGACCTGACTCCCTTGCCTCATCATCTGGGAACCTGAAGCCAAGGATAGTGTGCATACCTGTCACTGGGCTGAATCCTCAACCCAGGTACATTTGCTCCCCCTTCACAGGAAGCCTGTGCAGAGGCCCTGTGATGTGTCCCTATACCTGGCTGTCACACATACATTCCATAGTCTCCCATTTCACAACTGTGAGACCTGAGGGTCAGAGAACTGAGGGACATTTTCCAAGGTCATCCAGGGTGTCAGCTGCACAGAAGGAGACCTGTTCCCTCTGCACAGAGCCTGAAGGCCCATCTCAAGTCACTTCTGAGCAGGGAGATGGAATGGGACAGACAGGTTACCTCCCTTTGGTCTCTGGGACATAGCTTCACATCTCTGCGGGAGCCTCAGCATCTGGCCAGAGGACACACCTGCTCCTAGCCTGACAGCTGATGAGTCCTGCCTCAAGGGACACAGGCAGTCTCTGCCCTTGGCTGTTCAGGGCTAGCACCTCGAACAGGGTCAGACTTGTTAAGGCCAAAGCCAAAGCTGTCACCACAGTCTGGCATGCACGTGTGTTCTTGGCCCGCTCAGCTCACAGCCACAGTCCCCAAGCCTCCAGAGCCCTGCATCATAATAGAGTCTAAATTGTACCTCTCAGGATGCTTGATGGATAACTGAGCAGCACCAGGAGGCAGGGACCCAAGGCCTTTCCGCTCCCCTATCTGCAGCCCATCCATCTTGCCTGAGTGTCCTCAGCCATCCCCTTTCCCAAGGCTAAGTCCTGTGGTTCCAGGAACAGGACAGACCCAGCTGGGGAGGGAGGCCACAGCCTCGCTGGAGGAGCCTTTCAACTGCCCAGGCACGTGGTGGCTTTTTACTCCCTTGTGTTTGATAGTTTATGTGGCCATCAAATTAAACCTGGTAAATTGCCCATTTTTTCCAGGATCACTTGTCGCCATTGCGCGGATCACGCAGACTTGAGTGTGGTATGAGTTACGGCCTGCTAGCTCTGTGACTGACAGCAGAATCCTTGCCACTCTGCTGGAGGGGAGCGGTGGGATGACTAGGCTAGAGTTCTCCCTTAGCTGAGGGGGGCCTTGGCCATCGTTCTTGGCATTCTCTCTACTTGTCACTGGCTTCTGCCAACTTCCAGGACTGGTCATGGGTTCAAGTTCTACCTCTGCCACTTCCAGATTTGAGCAGGGGCTTGTCCTCTGAGCCGCAGCTTCCTCACCTATACCTGTGGTCCATAGTAGTTGCCCTTATATGGGACCTCAAGGTGATCTGATGAAATTACATGTGCAGAGTACCCCACTGCACAATAACCCACACAGAGAGTACCCCACATGCAGAGTACCCCACTGCACAATAACCCACACAGAGAGTACCCCACATGCAGAGTACCCCACTGCACAATATCCCACACAGAGAGTACCCCACATGCAGAGTACCCCACTGCACAATAACCCACACAGAGAGTACCCCACATGCAGAGTACCCCACTGCACAATATCCCACACAGAGAGTACCCCACATGCAGAGTACCCCACTGCACAATATCCCACACAGAGAGTACCCCACATGCAGAGTACCCCACTGCACAATATCCCACACAGAGAGTACCCCACATGCAGAGTACCCCACTGCACAATATCCCACACAGAGAGTACCCCACATGCAGAGTACCCCACTGCACAATATCCCACACAGAGAGTACCCCACATGCAGAGTACCCCACTGCACAATATCCCACACAGAGAGTACCCCACATGCAGAGTACCCCACTGCACAATATCCCACACAGAGAGTACCCCACATGCAGAGTACCCCACTGCACAATATCCCACACAGAGAGTACCCCACATGCAGAGTACCCCACTGCACAATATCCCACACAGAGAGTACCCCACATGCAGAGTACCCCACTGCACAATATCCCACACAGAGAGTACCCCACATGCAGAGTACCCCACTGCACAATATCCCACACAGAGAGTACCCCACATGCAGAGTACCCCACTGCACAATATCCCACACAGAGAGTACCCCACATGCAGAGTACCCCACTGCACAATATCCCACACAGAGAGTACCCCACA